GATGAGACTTCTGCTTCCAAGCCTAATTTCATCAGAAACCCCATAAATTTTATTGTCTGACTGTCACAGAAACAAATGAATACTATTGTGAGGAAGATAACAAAATAAATTAACCATTTATTTGCCCAGATGTATTATGTCCACAAACTACCTACTATGATGCTTTCTAATAGCAAAAAATTTACCAAAATATTTGTTCTATGCACCACTATTTTCAGGCTTTAATTTTAAATATATACATATATAGGAAATAAAAAAATAAGTTTTTATTTGCTTGAATAACTGCCAGAGAATCTTTGGCAATATAGCCTTTACTATAGCACAGACGGGAATATACTATTTCGAGTTAAGGGAGAAAACTGAAGTTTTTCTGAAGCCTTGTGCATCTTTAAGGCCAAATAACACCGAGGAATAAACGTGCAGCATATGTACTACAGATGCAGTGCAAACATACTGTTCTCTGTTTGTCATTTTCCTTTTATTTTCCTGTATTATCTTGCATAGGATAGGAGTAGATAAAATAGTATCAACATTAAAATTATCAGAATGAGTGTGGAGATACTATTTTGATGTGGAGCATCTCTGAACCCACTGTAGTTTTTCATTTCCACAGGAAAAAGTAATTCTGTTAGTTGCCCCCCCACAATTGTAAATACTTGAAAATTATGTCATTTTTAACATACGAACATGTTGATGGTCAGATGGTCTTTCATGCTCCAAGTAAGATTGGCAGAAATTAGAACAGTGTATGGGCTTACAAAAATATGGTATTTAATGTTTGGCAGGAATTACTACTGTGGAAAACACAGCAGACGCTTTTTTCCCTCCTTACCCCTTTTTCAAAAATTGTTTTTCCCCTCCACTTTTTTTGTTTGTTTGTTTGTTTTTCCCTTTCTGCTTTTTTGTTGTTGATTTTTCTCTCCAAGTTTGCCATGAATCTAAAACCTAATTTAACATGACAAATGCTTTCATCACTCTTTTAACCTCTGAAGTGAACACTCTTGACAAAGACAACGTGTGGAGCATATGCTTTCCTTCTGATACTTTATAAATTACTTCCCTGTAACTGGGCTTCACCACCAGTCCAGTACCTTCAGGATGTCCTCATCTGAGTGGCTGAGTCTATGTTCCTCAAATGTCACCCCAGGACAATGGGAACAACTCCCAGGCATCGTGAAACAACACGTCTCAAAGAGGATGGGAGACTACTATATCTAGTTCTTGGATGCTGGAATTTACCAAAATGATGTGAAATATTACCAAATTATGCTAAGTATTTCAGTAATATCAGGACTACCGAAGAAACGGAGAGGTGACAATACTGGCTTTAAATAAGCAGATAACATTTTGTATACTACGTAAGGAATAAGTTAAGTGAAAAACTGATTTTTTTGGATTCTCTCTTGAAAGTAGTACAGCACACAGCCACAGAGACAGCTTAAAATGCTCTTTTTCATAGAAATAATCTGAAAGTTTTTTGCCTGTGTGTATTCCTGTAACAACAGCAAAAAAAAGGCTTGTTTCATTTTCAAGCTGGTGAATCTGATACGTGTCAAAGTTTCTGCAGAAACTCTTTCGTTGTAATGGAATGTAGATAGAAGACTACGTCCATGAAAACAAACCGCACACACAGCACCAAGCGTACTTTTCGCAGGCACATGCCACATCATAGTAGACTGGTGCCACATGGACCTGCAGATATTTGTCCCAAAAATCAGTCAGGATAAGTTCCACAGGAAGATTTTGGAAAAATTACAGTTGATAATGAAGGCCTGACTGCCCTATAAAGGAGGAGTCTATCTAAATAGCCACACTTGGATGGCATTTTATGATCTAAAAGATGAATCTGCATGCATCTTCCAGAAGAAAAGAAAAAAAACATATCCCTTTTAACAAGATATATTGTCACTATTTTGACAAATGTTTAACTTTTAAAAATAGCAGGATCATCGTTATTTAACACTAATTATGTTGTGCTGCAAAAAGTTCCAAAGGTCATTATGCCCTGTGAATTCATTTGTAAAGTTTTGTCATTTAATTCATTCTATTTTTGTCTATTATCAGAAAAGCAATTGGAATGCCTAAATCACTTTTAATATTCTTTTCTATCTGCTGTGATACTTTTTTTTTGCTTGTCATTTTAAATCACCCCTGATTAGAATTTTTTTCATGACACCCTTAATCTTTAGCAGTTGCCTGAAAATCAGGTTTAAATCTGCAGACAGCATGTTTTCAATGAAGTGCTTCAATTTGCAATTCTCTTTTATAAAAGGACAATCCATTTAGAAATCCTGAAGTCTATGTGAACTTCAAAGTATTCTTTCAATATAATTTACTTATTTGCCAGCATTGCATTTTTCATTTAGTCCCACAATAGTCTTCACTAGCATTGATAAAATCCTCTTCACAGAGCCCAGAATTACCGACAAACCTAGAAAGCAGAAACATTCACTGCAAATTTTGATGATTTTCTGTAACTGTTACTTTTAGCAGATGCATCCCCAGTAATATGACCACTGCTATGGTGGACAGCAAGAAATTTCCTTTGTGGACATATCCAACAGAAGAACGTTATCAGCGTCTTGAAAGACTCTCCTAGGTTTGAAGTTCTGACAGCAAAATACACAGGGGGAGTTAATGCAACATGGAGTGTTGCCTCCTGCCTATCTTGGGTGAACTTAACATCCTACAACTTCCACCTCTCTTGGTAGATTAACAGCTCTCATCTTCCCACTGTCCAAAAGATTAGGACAGAACTGGGATTTTGGTACGTTATTCATCTTGAATACAGAAAAACATTTTTTTCTCCCGACAGACTGACTGGAGCAAGACAGAGTTATTTTGTCTTCACAGCAGTTCAGGGCTTAGTAGGTCAGGAGCTCCAAAGTGAGCTGCAGCAGAGCAGTTAGAGTTTTTGAAATTTCTTACAGTGAGGAGATGATTTGGTGCCTCAAGTCATACCATTGGAGAACAGCAGTCCCAACTATTTCATGGGTGGGTCAGCTTATAATTGGTGGTCTTAAGCACATCCCTTCTGCCTTATTGCTTTTCTCAACACACTTAAGACAATGCAGCTTCCTTTTAGTTCTCTGTCTTTTCTTTTATCTTTTTTCCATCACTTTAGATTATCATCACAGACAATCTACCAAATTTATTCAGAGGATTAATTACAGCTATTTTCTGGTTTTGACAACTACTCTTCAATTCACTTATTCTTTACTGTGCATGGCATGAAGCTTGTCAGGTAACTTCTCATTATTTAATCCTTGAGCCAACACACTTTCTAAAACCTGCTTTCTCATACTCACTAGTCAACTCCATTGTGCTCATCATTCTTTAGTCAGGAAAAAAGACCTCAAAAACTTCTGTCAAAACGGATCACTTATGTCATGACTTGAAGTGATAGATCATTCATCAGTTATTAAGGGTCAATGCATTGCTTTACATTAGCTCTTGTCTTAAATGTTGTAGGAAACTGTATAAAGCAATAACCATGTTGTAAAGCTTTGCTTTAGATTACAGTAACCTAAATACCAAGGAAAAATGCATTTCATAATCCATCACTTCAAAGTTATGCACATGATTAAAATATTCAGCTTGCAGTATATCATTTCCCATGTGCATAATCACTCAAACAGATAGCTGTTGTATGATAACTGTCAAGTTCAATAAATCATGTGCTTTCCAATCTTTTTATTTATATATCAAACTAAGCCTGTTATTCTTCTGAGGTTTTCTACTGAAAAAACAGAGAAAGATGTTTAGTTCTGTAGTATTGAGTATGCTTAGATGCATGCCTGGCCCACGGAAATGGCAGCAACAAAGTAGCTAATCAGCTCTCTTTCACTCCCGGATGTATTAATTACCTATGGAAGATCATTAACATGAACAGTGAGGTTTCCTTAGAAAGCAGCATCTACCCTGTTGAGTTTGATGCATTTTGGTTTTGACCATATAACCTTTCTCCTCAAATGGAGGGAATAGAGAGAAAATTCAGTGCACCTTCACAGGGCTTTTGCTCATTATGTATGAACTTCACTCTTCATGGTAGCAACATATTAATATCAGCATAAAGTTAAAAAAAAATGAACAACAACAACAATCAACAATCTAAACAGGTCTGGAAAGTATTTGCAGAAAACACTGACAAGCTACCATATTTTTGCCATTTACTCATGGAAGCTAGTGGGTTTGCACGGCATGTCCTTACCATCAATGTATTGTTAAGGCACTGTAAAAGGTACAAAATATACATCTAACTGCTGTAGACCCTTTGAAAAACCTCCAAAGCAACAATGCAAAGGATATTGGGGAAAAAAAAAAAAAAAACAACAAAAAAAACGGGAGCATGTTGCATGTTTAAAAAGAAATCTGAAAAGACCGTAAAAGAACACAACCTAGTGTGGTTATTATTATGCTAATCAAAGAAAATAAGCACAAAATTTTGAATTCTCTTATAAAACACTAAGGATGGATGGAATATTGAAAACAACAGCACACCAAATAGCTTTATCTATTAGTCAGGCCTAAGACCTACAGGAATTCAGGCATGCCAACAGATATAGAGTGAGACTTATCAAAAATGATTTTGTCTTTTTTCTCTAAATGCAGCACACTATAGTAATACTTGAATTCAAACACCAGTAGCTTCTGTTACTCTTACGGATTTACTACCGAGCACATTTTTTTTCCAAATATTTTAAACAAAGGGTAGTACATCCAAAAATTCCAAATTTTATCATCCTCTTTTGCGTACCCATGACACCTAAAATTAACACTGCACACTGAGGATCCTGAATTGTCTTCTTGCTCTCACTCCGGTTATCACAGTGAACAGGACTTGAGAATCGTATTTTTCTCATTAATCAGTATGAAGAATAACAATTTTCTTTGCTTAGTAACTACACAGATTTGTGAAACAGATTAAACCAACCTTTCATCTGCTGAAGCCTCATTTGCTGACATAGCTATGTGATTTGACAGAGAAAACACAGTCTTACCTATGAAATATGCTAGCAGGATGGCAAGCAGGACTGCAGCAGCAATTGCAGATAAAGCAGCACATTTCCAGCTACAATATTTGGAGGGTTTTTTAAGCTTGAACGCATTCCTGGAGAATGTATTTCTAGGTAACAGCCTGGGAGGTGGAGTATAAACTGTTCCTGAGGTCAGTGGGTAGCCAGGAGAAGAGCTACTGAATAGTGGAGTCGTTCCAGAAGATGTCTTAAACAAGAAATGCCTGAAAAACAAAAAATTGAATGATAGTTTAAAACACAAAGTCTTGTAGTTAAGAAATAATACCTCATTCTTTCCCAGCTGCCATAGTGCATTAAATTCAACAAAAATAGTAAAATGATTTTGTCTGAAGAAGTAAGGAGAATGAAGACTCTCACAATCTTTTTGACACCAAAACGTAACAACTATCACTAAAACACTGTGTTGGGATGTCTGCTGTCAGGATGTCTGCTGTCAGGTTATCTTCTTATCCTTTCCATGATGAGATGCAGTTTGACCAGATACTAGCTAAAACATCAACATGATGAATTAATGTCTTTGAGTATGTTGAGATTGTGTCTGGAAGAAGTGGGAGCAGTCTGGTAACGGAGTCATATTCAGATGTGACATCACTGTCGATTCCTTTTTGCCTGGGTTTGATTAGGACTAAACAACTAGTTCCTTTACTAAATACCTGTAAGTTTGTTAGTTCAACAGAACATTTCACTTTACAAGAAAACATCCTTTCTGAATTCACATATTTAGATAATTTCCCTGTAGGATAGTAATACCCAGCAAATATTCTAAAACCTATAAATAAAGAAATAAATAAAAATGAGTTTCATTAACAGCCTTGGAAGAAGCTGCCAGAAAAAAAAAAAAAAAAAGAAGCACAATAGTCTTGCAGGAAGGTATTTTACCAGAATTAGAACTAGCTATCTTTTTAAAATAATGCTATGGACTTTTCTTTTTGAACAGCTAAAACTCTCATCAGAATTACAATTCAGCAGAAAAAAAAAAAAAAAAAGGCAGAAAATAGAGAAAGCCATTCAGGAGCCTGGCTACTCCAGATTAACTTTTCTTTTCCTAGTCAGGAAGAGCTGACTACCAGCATGTTCCTAGTAAATGATAAGAAGAGAAGCAGAGAATAAAGGCTGTGGTCTTCAAGAAGGCCACTGAGAATACGCCGTTTTTTTAGGGTAGTCGTTTATAAAGTCCTTTCATGAATATTATAAATCATTTAGTTTTTTTTTTGTTTGTTTGTTTGTTTTGGTTTTCCCTTTCTCTTAGAGACCCTAAATGACCTTGTATATCCCACACAACAATCAATAAAATTCTAGTTTACTTCAGAAAACATTTCAGCCACCTATGGTAGTAGCAGCAGTATTCACTTTCATAAATTTTTCTATGTGCTCTGGAGACACCACAGAAAACCATTCAGATGCAGGCACACAATCAGAAGTGGCTTTTAAAGTCTAAGTAACTCAAGCAGATCAATTAAAGCCTGGCTGACACCCGTTAGCAGAAGCAGTTTTAGGCCATTGTGCTGGCTCCATGGTGCTGGGAGCACAGTGCCCCTCCGTGACAGGACCCAAGGACTGAGGTGGCACAGAGCGTGAGGAGGGGTGGGTGGACAGAAGGGAGAGCCGTGGTGATGCTGATCAGATGCGGGTTGCAAGCAGGCAGGCTCACCTCTCCTTCACGCCAACTGCATCTGCCTCAACCCAGGCCCCCATGCTACAAGTGGCCCTTTCAGGTTTGGACCTCACGGTCCCACAACAGGCAGTTCTTACAGTTCTTTCTTTTCCCTGCCCCAAAGCAGGAAATCACAGAATCAAAGTGGAAATGGCAGTCCTTGGCACTGCCTTTATCTGAAATGTCAAGGTTTTTAACCCAGGAATTTTACGTGCTCTTCAGCCAAGAAGGCAGCTGCAGTACCAACAGAAATTTTAATATAAAGTTAAAGTAAACTCAGATATATAATGAAACTCCGCTCCCACCAAAAATGAATTAATGAATATCTAGATATGTTTTAATAGGACATGCCAATCATGTACTATTTCATGTGAGAAGAAAAAAAAAAGTAGAAGAAAATAGTTCCACTGTGGTCCATTTTGAGATAAAGTATATAAAGAAAACCAAAATATTTATACATGCAAGTATGACTTCTATTATATTGTTAAAACTGCTCAGAACTTGATAGAAGCAAAAAAGGCTGAGAGAAATGGATCTGTGGAAATATTATATTCCCAAAGCAAGAAAGAATAAAAATAATTGAATAAACAGTTTTGTCACAGCTGCAACTCCTTATCCATGTAAAAGCTGAAAGTTTACTATGTCTGTATGAGGGTCTCTTACAAAGTTGCAAAGATTAGAAGATAGCCATGCATTACTAAACTATAGTATCTTCAGAAGATATTAAAAAAGACAAATATTTTAAGATATGTTAAATACCACACACCAAGCCATTTTGGAAAACTGGCACTGCGTTCAGAAGCTGGAGACCAGATTAGCAGAAAGACCCAAAGTTACAGCAACATGCACCAGAATAGCTGAGAATGTAACGGACAAAGTACTTACAACCCCCCAGAGTTTTAAGTCTAGATTCAGCTTCTAATGGAAATAAATTGACTTGTCTCAACTTTATCCCTAAAACCAATGATCTATAGCTATATTTTTATGTGGGATTTGACATGCTCTGGTACAACCAATTGTCTGTGGACCAAAGCTGCAAAGAAAGAACATGAGCATTTATCAACATTAATTATGGTCCCTCAGAGGTAAGACCACGAGGTATTGTGCAATGACTGCTTATGGAAAGATATTATCTTAGTTGCACCCACTCACTTAATTTCAAATAGATTCCATATTAGAATTAAATAAATAAAATCTATGTTCTGTGTCTTAACTGTTCACCTATCAAGTACTGTAAGGAAAAACACATTTACCACCTCACTTAGCATTAATACTTTGATTTAAATAAGGGCCGAACTTAAATTTTGAAAGCATGGGAATCAATTTGCTAATCTTAGGACAGTTTAATTTCTTTGCATTATAGAGACATCCCTACACTAGAAAACTGCAAAACACCACCATGAGCATGCAATGATTCAGTAACGTAAACATCCACAAAAGGTATGGATGGAGTTTGCATGCTGCTCACAGAAAATAAGCTGATACCATAGCTTGCTCAGAGCTCTTCCTAAGCACCCTGCAGCTCCCTGGGGGCCCTTGCACCAAGCTGTGTGCTGCGGCTGCTCTGCTCCCATGCAGGGGCCCCGGCAGAGCAGGGAGCGCTTCCTTACATGTGGCACGGCGCCAGCAGAGAGGTGACATCTGTGAAAGCGGAGCTTGCAAGGGGACATTCGACCATGGTTCTGTGGACTACTGGTAAATGGAAAAAGCTATATTTTGCTTTCTTCATTAATTCAGAGCTCTCTATAGCATTTATTTTCCCACAGGTCAAAAGGACCTCTGGTGTTCAGGGAATAGTGGTCTGACAGAGACTGTATTAACTTCCATATTCTTTGAGAGAACAATCTCTCCCCCCCCCCTTTTCTGGCCAGATTGTCATGGCAGCACGCTGCAAGAATCAGTTGAGAAAAAGAAAAAATATCATTTTTTTTTGTGATGAAAAACTGTAATAGAAAGGAAGAACAAGATACTTTAACAGAAATTGCTTCCTTCACTCCTCATACCATCCTAAGCTCATTCTTTATGAAAAAAAAAGAAATACAGAGAGCTGTAATGCTTAAATTGTCTTTTTCATTCTAAGGTTTTTAAAAGCAATTAATAAATAGAAAAGATACATAACACAAGAATAGTTAACAGCTCAATTTATTGGTTCAAGGACTTAGAAATGATCTTTAAGCTGTGATAAAAATCACATCCATCTATAATTTTGTGTGACAATTTTGTGACATTTTTTAATTAGAGAAAATAAATGTAATGAAATGTGGAGCATAACATTCTGGCTTTTACTGGGGAAAAAAAATCTACTCCTCTAAGCCCTCCTCCAAAAGAGTAGCCACAGGACATTTTGTGTCAATGAAAGCCTCAAAGCACCTGCCTAATTCAGACAGCAAAGTTTAACGTCAGTTTTCTTACTTTCATACAAAAAGAAACCAATACTGAAGAAAAGTATAAACTGTTCTGATGTCTTTTGTGCTAACAAGACCTGGTTGCTTGCTTAAAGGTCTCTCAATCCTTCCCCAAATGAAGTTTGAGTGATTTCTGAGTGGGAGGTGACTGTAGGAGTTGGGAGATCAGCCCTGCAGAAATGGGTTTGGGGGTTCTGGTTGATGGCAAGTTGAACATGAGCTAGCAGTTGGTCCTGGCAGCCAGGAGAGCCAACTTTGTCCTGGGGTGCATCAGGCACGGCACTGTTGGACGGTCAAGGGAAGGGACTGTCCTGTTCTGCTCTGGTACTGTCTCACCTCCAGTACTGTGTGTGGTTTTGGGCACCAAAGTATTAGAAGGACATAAAACTATTAGAGAGTGTCCAAAGGAGGGCTATGAAGACGGTGAAGGGTCTGGAGGGCAAGATGTATGAGGAGTGTCTGAGGTCCCTTGGTTTGTTCAGCCCAGAGCAGAGCAGGCTGAGGGGAGGCCTCATGGCGGCCTGCAGCTCCCTCATGAGGGGAGCGGAGGGGCAGGCGCTGAGCTCTGCTCTCTGGGGACAGCGACAGGACCCGAGGGAACGGCATGGAGCTGGGACAGGGGAGTGTCAGGCTGGGTGTGAGGGAAAGGTTCTGCACCCAGAGGTGGTCGGGCACTGGGACAGGCTGCCCAGGGCAGTGGTCATGGCCCTGAGCCTGCTGGAGGTCATGAAGTGTTTGGACAATGCTCTCAGACACACGGTCTGTTTTTTTGTGTGGTGCTGTGTGGAGCCAGGAGTTGGACTTGATGATCTTTGGGGGACCCTTCCAACTAAGGGATACTCTATGATTATAGATATATTTTCAATGGAGAGCTATTTAAAACAGACATATGTGTCAATGAAATGGACATTTCATAGAAGCGTGCCAATAATTCAATAATAAAACAGTTCTGCAGTAATTCAGAACAGACACATCAACACCAGGGTAACACTTCTTTCACTTCTAGCCACTGCCATGCAACTCTGAACATGGCAGCAGCTGCCCAGCCTCCAGCCAAACTCTATGACTGGCTTCCAGCTTTGGAAGGGGTTGTGATTCCTTGAAGGCTAGGTTCTTCACATCCTGAGACTACATCTTCTAAAAA